ATACAGGGTGTCCCAAAAAACATGGGAATTCAGTGACGAATTCGATATCGTCTTTGTTATGAATTAGCATTTTAATACCTAATTTCAAAAGCCATAATAATATTATGTCTGCTAGAGTTTATTTTATGAAAAGGGTTAAAGATGTGTCTATAATGTCTCCGCAAAATGAACAGTGAAGACGGACAAGTTTACTCTGTTTGTATTCTGCAATTTTCTTGTTTACTAAGTACAACCGTATGCAGTCAAAACATAAACAAACAAAATGTGAACATAGCAGACGAAACTCTTACAGATTACAGCTTTCTTAGTATAGGTATCACTATACCAAATCAAAGAATTATTTAAAAAGACGATATCGAATTCGTTACTGAATTCCCATGTTTATTGGGACACCCTGCATATAAACGGGAAAAATAATTATAAATTGAAATCATTATAAATCAATTCAAGCTACAATTCGCACAATGTTTGTAAATGGAAAAATTTAAGAATACATTTAAAGCATTGCATTTTAAAAGTAAGATTGTGACAAAAACCAGTCCCCCCTTCCGTTGACCCCCCAAGATACCCCACTGTGCGCCTCCCTTCTCATTCACTTCTATACAATCTGCAGACATTTATTCTCACTTTTCTTCATCTCTCCAACCCTTTGATGTTTGATTACTCGGAGTAAAAAGTAATTAGTTCCTTTAAAGGTGAATCTACAAGAAGCCAACACTCTCCTGGATCAAATAATGAAGGGTCTAAATGATTATCTCGAGAAGAAAAGATTATTCTTTCCTCGATTCTTCTTTCTCTCCAATGACGAACTTCTCGAGATTCTGAGTGAAACGAAAGGAAAGAAATACAAAATAGAAGATGAAAATAGATTGGTTTCGATTGTTTTTAGAAAATTAGGTTTTCTAGAAGAATGAGTCATTAATAAGACAATGAACACATTTTGTTGCCTGTCTCTAAAGTCTAAACTATTTAATTTCTAAAATATGAACTAGCTAAATACTGATAATGCCCCCTTGTTCTTTAATGTTGTATTGTGAACTGATATTGTCCCCTCGTTCTTTAATATTGTATTGTGCACTGATATTGTCCCCTTATTCTCTAATATTGTATTGTGAACTGATATTGTCCCCTTGTTCTCTAATATTGTATTGTGAACTGATATTGTCCCCTTGTTCTCTAATATTGTATTGTGAACTGATAAGATCCCTTGCGAGTACAGCCTCATGTCAGAAAGTGCTTTGAAGTAAGTAAAACTACCATTATCCTAGATTATAGTAACCATACCCTACCCTGCAGTATTCTTCTTCATTAGCCTTTAAATGGACTTATCACGTTTTTAGCAATTCATTTTTTAAAATCCCATGAGAAATTCACATTTTCGCGCTTTTAACCTTTATTTAGCATCTTTTTTCATTGGACACAACTATGATTTTTAAACGTTACAGCATACCAAGATTTTGTTCATATATCAGTATTGAGTTTTCTGCAATTTCATAAAGATTAAAGTTTAATAAAGGAACTGTTATGATTTATTGATGACATTTCTGAAATTAAGTTTTTCAAGTTTAAGCTGGGAATCCCTTTAAGTTTAGGAACTGGGTTCTTTTTTATATCTTTATCAGAGTGCAGACTAACATTAACAACTCAGGGTGATATTCCCCTCCACCCCTTTCTAAGAAGTAAATACCTTTATAGAGATTTTTAATTCTATTATACAATGTTCACTGCTATTATAAATTCCTATCAAGGTTGTACAATAAGGTTGGTTACTCTCGATGTACTCCGATGTATGGAAAATGTCGTTTCCTAAGATAGATAGGTAAAAACTGCATATGACGTCACTGATTATAGAGGCTAGAGTGACGTCATATGAGGTTTTTATATTTCTACCTTAGGAGACAACATTTTCCGTACATAGGAGTGCATCAAGGTTTACCAACCTTATTCTACAACCTTGATTACAATAAATATTTACCGAAGTATTTTCCACTACTTGGCATCTACATTGAATCATGCATGTCATTTAAAAAAAATCGTATCTTTGTATTTACTTATCATTTAAAAAATGTCTAGGGTATTGATCATCTGGAGTTTGTTGAAGATGCTCTGGGCCATCAGAATATCAAGGCTATGGTCTCATCCTTGGATGAATCAGTTGCTTTCTCCAATATCATTCATCCACAGGTATATGTATAATCTGAATATCATATTCATAGCTCATATTCTTGTTCATCCATTGTGGTTGGTGATATCATATTCTTAGCTCATATTCTTATTCATCTATTGTGATTGGTGATATCATATTCATAGCTCATATTCTTATTCATCCATTGTGATTGGTGATATCATATTCATAGCTCATATTCTTATTCATCCCTTGTGATTGGTGATATCATATTCATAGCTCATATTCTTATTCATCTCTTGTGATTGGTGATATCATATTCATAGCTCATATTCTTATTCATCTATTGTGATTGGTGATATCATATGCATAGGTTATATTCTAATTCATCCAATGTGATTGGTGATATCATATTCATAGCTCATATTCTTATTCATCCATTGTGATTGGTGATATTATATGCATAGGTTATATTCTTATTCATCCATTGTGATTGGTGATATCATATTCTGTGTATTCTTTAAGAATGAAGAAGAAATACATCTTATTGTTGATTCATTATGGTTTAAGATTTAAGCTTACAAGTACCCTAGTTCAAAAATATAAACGAAATTCTACACTTTCTTTAAATTTACTCTATAAATAATGTTCTAGGATGCTAAGGGAATGGTTGAAAAGTGGCTTCTACAGGTAAACTCTACAATGCCTAACTCTGCTCATGGTTCATCTTTAAGACTGTATTGCGTTATTTCAAGTGACCTTTCATTTATAAAGAGTCATGTCCGATTTACAACCGTACCCTTTACACCTTTGTCCGGTAGATACATAACAGGGGCGTATTCGGGATTAAGTCCAGAAGGCGGGGGGGGGG